TGTAAAGACCTCTTAGTTGTAACTAAAATAACTGGATCTTATGTACTGCAATAAGTGCTTCTAGTAGACTGTAGCAAAGGTTTTGAGTATTAATAGAAGGCTGAAAGTGTCTGATGTTTCCCTCAGGCGATAGTGATGGTGTTGGAGTCCAAAGGACAGAAAACATTCAAAATGGTTCTGCAGCTACTGAAGTCGCTCTCTGTGTCCTCAGTCAGCACTGTGGACCAAATGAGAAGGGTATGGGGCCACCTGGTGTTTCAGTTATGCACTGCACACATAGTTTCAATAGGGCACCAGCTTATTTGCTTGCAAGCCTTATAAAATATGCTGTTTTTATATACAGTGTGTCTTTTTCCCCCCCCTTTATAGGGCTATGAAAGAGTTTATTTGGACATTGCTGAAATCAACATTGATGTCCCGCGTGCATACTTCATCCTGGAGCAGTTTGTTGATAAGAGCTTCACTATGGGAATCATCGATGTAAAGTTAAGAGATCTTTGTCCCTGTCGGTAAGGGCACGCTACTGGTTTTCTTACACACACACCTTACACTCATGTCTGAAGGGAAATGTGTTATTACGGTTTGTTAATTTGTTCTGTCTTTTGTCAGGGGCCGGAAGAGATTTGTCAGCGAGGGAGATGGTGGTGTTGTCAAACTTGAAAGCTACTGAGGAGCCCTTTTTATGTGCCAGATTTCCTGAAGAGGATAAAGCTACTTTTTTACTTGCATATTTTTCAAAATAGTTGGGTACCCCCCCCCCCCCCCCCCAAAAAAAAAACAAGTCAAAAGAATGTACATTTCTGAAATGAGGTGGGGTTAAAAAAGCAAACACATTTGACTGCACTTATGATTGAAACTGAAGTTGATAATTTTCTTCAATATAAATATTTGCATAAGGTAATCCTTAAAGTGCCACACCTCTGTTTCTGCCATTCCATGTTGTACAGTATTTTCCTTGATTTTACTGCCAGTCCTTTTTGTGTTTTCTAGAAAGCAGTGTTTGTACAGAGATGACTGGTTTGTGTCAGCTTTATAAAGGGGTATAAAAAATAAAATAAAGGGGAGCATGTTGGTTAAATGCAATATTGCCTCCCTAACTAGCTGCTGTTTCTATGCTGTGTTTGATCTTTTTTGTTTGTTTGTTTGTTTGTTTTTTTACCCTTTAAATTACACAAAGATGTCATTATTGAAGGTATCAAGACTTGAGTACAGTGCAAAAACAAATACCAGTCGTGTAACTTCAAAACTGGTGTTTAGAGTGTTTATTTTTATATCTGGGGAATACTGGTGTGTGAGATGTACCATGTATTGCACCTTGTTTGTTCATTAAATCACTTAAATAATCCAAGACTGTTTGTGTGCGTATGTGTGTTTTAACACACAATACTACCTACATGTTAAACTCTTTGACCTGACATGAATTTCTCAGCCCTAAATTCACTCATAAAGGAAGCTGTTAACTGCCATTTTCTTGCGTATTAATGAAAAATTACAGATGCAATATTACAAGTACGTCTGAAGAAGTACACAGATCTTAGTAGCCAACCACACTGGAAGAGCAGGCAATAGGTGTAATCCTTACAAATAACATGTAGTAGGTAATTCATCAATGACTAGATAACAGCAAGACTTTTGCATCAGGTGACTCTCTCCTCCAGCTTCCTTATCTGCTCTATGAAGCTAAACATCTTTAACTTCTTGACATTGCACTTAACTGTTCACACAATTACTTATTCTACCAGAGCTTGAAAACACAGTTTGTGCCATCCATCTGAAAGGATTTTCTGCCAGTTTTGACTATTCCTGCTGCTGACTCCTCATTGGACGCCTATTGCAACTGCTCCTTCATTGCCAGTTCCTGCTGTTTGACGGCCTCCTGAGCCTCCATCTGCATCTTCTCCAGTTTCTCTAGGGTGACTGATTTGAGTGGGAGCAGCTTTGGCTTGCACAGAACCATGGTAGGGACATCTTCCATGGAAAGTTGCCCTGTGGATGAAGAGGGGAAAAATCTCTCAACTCCAACATATAGTCACACATTTCATCAGCTAATGAAAATACACAAAAGCCTCTAGCACATGAGCAGTGAGAAATATTCTAACTTTTAAATAAAATACTGCAACTGTGAGTGCATTGCCAATATTTCTGAATTCTGTCAGTCTAGTAGCCTGCAACCTCCAGGATTTTAAAGGGGGAGGGGCAATGTTAATTTGACAGGCTCCTTATATCTGTAGGCTCTGAGGTGACTTATTGAATTGCTAGCCAATGTTTCATTTGTGTTGCACTGATGATATCTTGTTTTTTTCCCCCCTCTCATGCATGAATAATCTGGACATTTTACACATGTGGTGCTCTGCTCCTAAGCAGTTTGCCCAGCTATAGTACAGACCCAAATGACAGTTATAACTGTTTGTACAGCAACAATGTCAATAGTGTTGACCTGTAAAATAGACTGTAAAGAGGGAGCACACAGCACAGAGCACCCTTTGACTCATTTTGCAAGCTTTTGCAAATTTCTACAACAGTTCACATGTTGTATTGAGCTCCACAAACAGTCTTTTGTTTGTAACTACTGCTGTCCAAATAGCTGCTGTGGTACAAACCTTGTTTAGGCAGAACTTCTCTGAATATTGACTTCACTTCTGGCATTGTGTCTTCTGAGTGCTTGCTGAAAGGCAAACATATTAGTTTATTACATTTAACATATTTTATCTGACAGATTCGTGAAACCAACGTAACACGGGTAGTTCTGTGAATCTAAGCAGCTCTGTTCAAAAAAGAGAAACTAAGATTTATTTATTTTTGATTGATAGCTGCTAATGTTGCTAGATATTTGTCACTTGATAATGAATGAATGACCTGACTCATGACTGTAATAAGACAGTAATCAGGTGAGAGAGGTTGCATTCAGGCCAGGGTTGTGGCACAAGTTTAGTTTGACCTTTAGCATACTGTGATAATGTTGTAGGTTCAGTAACACAGAAGGGAAATTTTATATTAGTTTTGTAGCCGGGCAACATAAGGTAGTTACAGATCGGTATATCTCAGTTACAGTAACATTAATACAGTTGAACTCATACACAGATGACATCAAACAAACAAATAATATATAAAATAATCATACAAACAAAAATAATTAGCAACAGTGGTAACGTTATAACATTAACGTTTTTTGCAAAATGTAGGTAGCTGGTGCAATATGTTGAATTTTCACGTTTCTATGGGATTGATTTAGCGTTAATGTTATTTAGTTAATGTCCGAATATATTTCCATTAACATTAAAGCAAAATAACTGACTGGGTTGTTGGGCTAATATTAAGATTGGGAGGAGAAATCGGAACCCGTAACGTTATCTTAAAATAGCTAGTTAGCTCGCTAGCTTTAGCGCGTAACTAAACGACACAGACCCAGCTAAAGTAATGGCAGCTTTCTTTTTGCGAACTACCTGTGAAATACTGGTTACTGGTGTTGATAATACAATGCAGTATATTTCCGTTGTGTGAACATGTTAAATTAAAACCACTGTTTACAAAATAGTTAATCCCACCTTTAGCGCCAGTACGAGATTACAGTGGTTGTCAAGACAACACTTCCGGCAGAATCATGTGACCTTCTTCTTCTTCGCGTTATTTCTCAGCCATAGTGATTTACTGACATCAACATGCAGCGCTTGCCCTCCCTCATTTTCCACCACTGAGGTGCTCAGTGGCCAGCAGATCAGACTGTGGTTGTACTGGGGAGCTTCCAACTGTGAATGTGATCAGGGTCTTCCTGCAAAAGATAGGCTTCCTCTTAATAAAACTCCCCTTAATAAATAAAGGTTAAAAAGAAAATGTTGCAGGTGTTATAAGTGGAAGGTTGTTAAGTTTTAATTAAGAGTTTTGCATAATTGTTGTAGTAATATGGTTTTGACCTGAATATGATACAACAAAAATGTGTTATTGTACTGTACATCATTCAGTGGTAGAAAGTAAGTACAGTTACTCAAGTACTGTCCTTACACTTTCATCACTTTATGCTACTTTAAACTAATACTCCATTTCATTTAAGAGGATATTTTTGTACTGTTGACTCCTGTACATTTATTTGACAGCTAAATTAATAGTTACATTAAAGAATAACATATGTAAACAATACATATGATTAATTGTTTTAGATGCAATCCCCAACACCATAATAACTAGTTAACATTTCCTTCAGATCCACTGGCTGTGGAATGAAAATGCTCCTTATATGTTAAAGCATTAATAAAAATAATCCACCTATATGATATATAATAATATTAACCTCTAAAAGGGACCATTCTGCACAATTTGTACTTTTACGTTTGATACTTGAAGTATATTTTGCTCCCAAGGCGATTGCACTTTTACTTAAATCCCGCTCCACTCAAAAAGATGCCTTCCTTACTTTTTTGAGCTTCACTGTGCAGAATGACCTACAGAGACATTACAAGGCTGGAAGGTTCAAGGAAGGTTTCACTATTTTCATCTTAAAATCTGACATTAAGGTGTAAAGGTACAAGCATGATTTTGTGAAATCACAGCAAGTTTGAAAGCCAATTGTGGTGAAATATTAAATTTACCGAAGTGTGATGAGGAAACTTGATCTGCCCAGCTCACATACAGAAACTCGACTTTTCAGTGAAGTGGGAGACATCTTGTGTCCAAGGTTAGCATTTGCATACTTACATTTTCTGGATTTTTCAACGAGGTTAGGGTAGATGTAAGACGTTTAAACAAGGTAATTGAAGTTTCATGGGGGAAATCACAGCAAACACAAATTAAGCAGAGAAGACAATTCTTATATGCCTCACTTTTATTTGTAATGTATTATTATTATTATTAATATTATTATTATTATTATTATTATTATTATATTTAACTGAAACAAAACAAGCTATACATGTAAATAAAGCCAATGTTTATCCAGGAATATTTGATTGTGTTTCAAAGTCTCGTGATAACAGTGGTTAGGCGTGCGTATGACGCAGTTTGGTGGCAACGGAGGGAGGGGAGCAGAGCAGCAGTGTAGGAATAGAGGAGGAAGCAGCGAGGATGGCGGAGTCACACCTCTGAAGGTAAAACAGTTATATTATCACATTAACAGTGGACGTTTCACCCCACACAACACAGTTACGCATCACTCCACATATAAAACACTCGTCAGTCTCTTGTTGTGGCGTGTATAGCGTTAACATGTCATTTTGCGGTGGTGAGTACGAACGCACTCTTTTGTTCAGCTTCGGAATGGCCGCTGTTTTTCAGTGTTTTCCTTTTTTCCTCTCGACTAATATTCAATACGGGGACGGCGCTTGGATGCTGTGTTACAGTTAGTCCGCACCTTGTGTGCCTTCAGTGGCCGCTCTGCTGGGATATCCGCTGCCCTCCCCCCGGCTGTTCTCTCTGGGTGTCTGCTGCACGACTGCGCTCAGCTGGCTGCTGCAGAGGTTTCCCCTCGGTCGGACTCACGGAGGAATGGGTCGGTCCGACAGCCGCTCTGCTCGGGCCTACACACACACACACACACACACACACACAGTTAACGTTACCTCTGCTTCACATAAAGCTAGCAGCTGAATGTGAGTATATGTCAGGAGAAACGTCGACACCATTCGCGCCGTCTAATACACGCACCAGCAGACCCTCATTTTATTATTTAATCTGTGATGTTACTATTCCTCCTTTCACTCAAGAGGATCGCTCGCTAAAACAGTGCTAGCTGGTGGGCTAACTTGCTCGCTAGCTGATGATAGCAAGTTAGCAGCAGCCTGGCATAACTGACGTTTGCTATAGACGTTTAGCTTAGCTGCTTTTATTTCCTGCCTTGTTGTCAGACGTTTTGTAGGCTTTTCCAGTGTATTTTTTTCTCCTTTTTGAAGATCTGTCGCTAGAGATGTGTATTGTAGCTGTGTTGTAAGGCTGGCTTTAGCTAACATTAGGGATTTTCAGCCTCCGTGAGTTGGCTAACGACAATTAGTTAGCTTGTTGATGTTAGGTTAACAGTCCAAATGTAACGCATTTTTACTGTCCGCGCCAAGGGATGACTGTCACACCAACGATCACACAGAGGCACACACCCTGGTATGATATCCCTAGGTGTTAATATTATGTAAATTCATCAACGTTAATCCCGAACGGCGACTTGACTTCCCGACCTGGTACCGTTTTGTCGGTAATCTGTTTTAAAGGATTTGTCATTGGAACACGTAACGTTAGCCATCTAGCTAGCCGTGTCCTATGGAATAGCTGATAGCTGCCACCTCACCCCTGTTTTGCTCCCACCTCCCCATTACATATAACGTTAACTACTCAAACTGTCAGGCTATTTATTGGACTTGGGTGGTAGCATAACGTTACTGTCAACACAGGAGAAGGGTTTTTAGATATTTCCTGACTCCGTAGTGCGTTTTGCCATATCGTAGCACTTCAGTTTGCTTTACACGCGTGATTTATTGTATGCTCTGATTAGCTGACATTGATGCATTTCTTTATTTGATCAAAGTGCATAAACAAGAACTGTTGACAGTTTTGCTAAGGCCTAAATGCACTGGCATTATCAGATGGGCCCAAGATATCCTTAATGGAAACTTCATTAGTCTATATGAGGGTTGCAAGTGCCATGAAGTCCAAGTGTGTTTATGGTGGTATTGGGTTAGTGTTGATGGAAATGCATTAGCTTTTCAACGAAGCTGTAGTTGAACCTCACTTCATCTACTTAATGAGTAGTCCTAACTTCATGGAAGTCACAAAGTGCTTGCAAGTTTTTTCACAGATGGATCACTTTCCTGCTGAATTTACATCCAGTGATTTTGGCAAACTAGCCACCACCTGTATAGGCCAGTGTAAAGGCTGTAACAACAGATACAGAGCATCCATTAATATTGCAGTTTTCTGATCACAACACATTTAATTGTATGGCCACCAAGTGATTCTGTCGTTTTGTATACTGCTAAGGGTTGTAGCTGTTTTTCACTATTTTCTCATCTTCTTTTCCATCTTTTGAAGTCAGAGTTTTAGTCATCTGAATGCTGTGCTGTTTTGCAGAAACCTCTGCATACATTTGAAAGATGCAACTAAGAGTATGTCTGCTTTGGTTTGGTCAATATTTTTGTTTCATGACATTCATTACATGAATGACAGTATTGATATGATCAGTTGGATGTTAAACTTTTATTCTTGTCCCATTCAGTTTTTACACTGATAACGTTTACATGCAGTTTGTTATAAACAGAATGATGTACCAGGGCAGGGACATAGTGAGTACAAGTTACAACCATAAAAGGAAGTTGCTTGCACAGTTTAGTTTAGATGGCCCCAGCAATTGGTCTGGCCTGGCTGTTCTCATTATATGTTAATCATTATTTTGCACACAGGTATGCCCACCAGTATTAGATGTTCACCCCTTTGTTTATGACAGGCTGAAAGAGCAGTGGATACCTTTCTTTTTATTTATTTATTTATTTATTTACAGAACACACTGTCAAGCATTCTGTCATGCAAGTGGTGCTGCTATTGACCCAACATTTCTTTTACCCAAAAGGTCATATGACCTGTTGTTGTGGGGGCTTCGTGCTTTGAAGGCCGCTTCTAAAGATTACTCTCAGCAGTCCTAACCTTTTCACTTAGCTCTGATCCTGAGCCAAACCAGTCTCTCTTTTTGCCACGGCTTAGCTTGTAGTGCAGGAAAGCTTTACACAGCCACAGAGGTACAGCAGTTACAGAGACTAAACAGAGACAGGCCGCCAGAGACATTCTGGCTCAGTTTGTTATGTAAAAATCCAAAGGGTTGTCTGTAATGTCTGGATGTCTTTGAGACGTAAATATTCAAGTGATTGTTGCATTACAGACTTCATAGGGGATGTCTAAATAGCTGAATGCATGTTTAGGTGGGGCTGTAGGCTTACAGTAATGTCAATACCCATGGGGCGATGTTTGTTTAGTAGGAGTAAGTTTGTGTGAGGTATTGCTTAGTACTTTCAGCAGATTTCCGTGGTATGACACAACACACTCAATAATACCACATTTCAAATGGTACTGACAACCCACCAAACCTGTTGAAGTGTCTCATGTATAAGGTAGTTTTTAGTATTATGCATAATATCTATGGATAGAGGATTGTCAGTGTGGAGTTGGACAAGCCCTCTAGTAGGCCGTTTTTCTTTTCGGCATGAAAAAGTTTTCAACTGACAGCAGTTCTTTAAAGGGTGTGGTTCACCTGCAAAATGTGAAATTGCTTGCTGCGGCAGGTTGTCAGTCTGAAGAATTTCAAACTGCTGATTGGAGTTGATTTCACTCACTAATCGTAAAAAATGTGTGCTATGTGAAGTTTTGAATGCTGCCCGCCTGAGCAAACACCGGATCGGAAATTACTTGGCTTAACGTAGCCAGTACTGTTCATCAAACAATGTTTAGATTCCGATTCTGATCCTGTGGACGAGCTTGTTAAGTCCCTTGTTATGATGATGGTAGATGGTCATGCTCATTGTCACTAGGTCACATTATTCATATAATATTTCTGGCAGTGTCAAATCTATGCATTATAGATGCCACCTAAATAACAAAGACACAGGTGAATGTGTCCAAGACGATATGCATTCGATCTAGCAAAAAATAAATCAAATATTAACTAATCACCATCAAGTGCCCAAAACAAGGAGGAGGCTGGCACACTGTAAAAATATTTGTGCGGTTAACTGTTTACTACAAACACATTAAATGACATCATTGTCACAAAAAATGTCATCAATCTGAAGTTCGCGAATTTAAAGAAATCACAAATTACTTCCATTTGCTTAGTTGGTCAGATTTGTCCGAGTATGATGGCATTGGAGACCAAAATCAAAACATCTAGTTTATATAGGATTCAGTATTTTCATACATTTCATTTTATTTTTCTTGTTTATTTAAGGGAATCAGTATGGATGGCTTATTCCTTTACTATCAAATTCCTCATCACTTTCAGTGGAAGTGGAAGAATATTCTGATCTGTGTTTGCCACTAGAAGTCTTATGTTTACTGTAAATTGTGGTGAGCAGTGTAGGAAACACAACATATTTTGGATGCATGAGGACAGGACATCCAGATGAAAATTAGTTTCGTTCCTTGTGTTCTTTTCGGCTCATCAGATCATTTTATTTCTTTCTGTAATTTGTGTCTAATACTATAGAAACAAGTGACAAATACAAAGACCAGAAACTTTTTCAGTAAGGCCACTCAACTGTTAAAATTCAGAATGATTACAATGTTTGGAAAGTATCAAATGAAATTGTAAATGTGAACAAAACTAATTCTTCTTTTCTCCAACAGCAACACTTCAATGGATTAAAAACCTTGATGACCTTTGCAGCCTGAAAGAACTTATATCCAAAGGTCCTGGGATTGTATGCAGTTCAGACACTTGAGCATGTGGCCCGTGGGTGCCACAATCCAGCTACTTCAAAGGATTTTTTCTCCCATGGCATTTTAACAAATTATCAAAAGTATCCAAAAAAACCTTTGGATCACAAGTCCTTTATTTCAAGGACAATCATAAATGTGTCCTGCACAGGGATGTTTTCTTTAAAAGCCTCCTTGGTTGTCTGTGTCCCTTTTTTCCCGAATAAGTAACCCGACAAGAGACTCCCATGAGCAACTCCGGAGGAGGAGACACGTTTACGTCAACATGAGTAGTACTTTAGGCAAAGAAAAAGATTCGAAAGAAAAGGACCCCAAATGTGGTCCAGCGGGGAAAGAAAGGGAAAAGGAGGCCAAGGCTCTAGCCAGCTTAGTCAAAGATGGTGGCAAAGAAACGAAGACCAAAGGGAAAGATGCCAAAGAAGGAAAGAAGGACACCAGCAGCTCAACACCAGGTGTTGCCTTCTCTGTTGACAATACAATAAAGCGGCCAAACCCGGCACCAGGTACACGCAAGAAGTCCAGCAATGCCGAGGTGATCAAAGAGCTCAACAAGTGCCGAGAGGAAAACTCAATGAGACTGGACTTATCTAAACGGTCCATTCACATGCTGCCCACCTCGATTAAGGAGTTGACGCAGCTGGCTGAACTCTACTTATACAGCAACAAGCTGCAGAGTCTGCCGGCGGAGGTAGGTTGCCTATCAGGCCTGGTCACTTTGGCCCTGAGCGAGAACTCCCTGACTAGTTTGCCTGACTCCCTGGACTCCCTTAAGAAGCTTCGAATGCTTGACCTCCGGCACAACAAGCTGAGAGAGATACCTGCTGTTGTCTACCGGCTGACGTCTCTGACCACGCTGTACCTGCGGTTCAACCGTATCACAACAGTGGAGAAGGAAATCCGAAACCTATCCAAGCTCACTATGCTCAGCATTCGTGAGAACAAGATTAAACAGCTGCCTGCAGAGATAGGTGAGCAAATCCTTTGTATAAAGACAGGACCCTTTCCTCAAATTTAGACAGGGCAAGAAGCCAACCTTTTTGCCTAGTGGCCACAGTAAATCATAAATTTGTAGAAAGTAGTAGTAGTTTCTATTGGGGTTATAGCATTTAGCTAAGGTTAAATTTCCTTTCAGAGAGCAGGTCATCTTGTGTGCGTATTAGGGCTGAAACGATTCATCGATTTAAATTTTCACCCCATTGATTTAAAAAAAAATCAATTAATAAATACTTAGTATAATCCATATAACTATACAGCCCAGTGTTTCGCACAGACATTTATTATTGTCGCACATTGCGCTTACGCTATGAACATGACGTGATTATAATGGATCTGTTTGCAAAGTGGAGGAAGAGAGAGAACATGGCGAGGGACAAAGCAGAAAGTGTCCAAAGTATGGGATTATTTCAAGCTAAAGAAAACAACAAACCTGTAATGTTACCATACGTCCACCGTAAAACGAAAATCATGTCGCCTTGGCAACAGCACGACGGCACCTGAACAAAAAGCAGCCGAATATAAATTATGATATAAAAAACTGCGCAGCGCATCAACATAGCGCTGTGCTCAATTAGACTGGAGCGTGTGGCTTCCTCCAGCAAGAGGGAACATTCACCGACCGTCCGAAATGCACCCGGCCATTCTGCGATCTCATGTTCCTGGCCCTGTACGCCCCAGCGACCCATTCCCTCTCCAGTACCTACACTGGGTTGTGTAGTAGGCCTACTACCAGCCCGCTGTGAACGGTTCGTGATTGTTCCCTCTGGCTGGAGGAATTTTACGCATAGGCTAATCCATGCACAACAGCTGGGGCCCTGACGGAGCACCACGCAATTTTCTGAATTCCTCCACTAAGAAAGGTCAGGTCGAAACAGTTTTAGAGAGACTGCTGCAGCTGTTGCATGAAGCTGCTTCCACCAATTATAAAAAAAGTTAATTAAGATAAAACGATAATGGGGCCGGGGCCGGGTGTTTTGTTTTAGAAATCCAGTGCACCCCTTTCCTTTACAGCTGAGGCCCTCGTCCCTCCCTAAGAGGTGTGTTCAGTGTTGCTTTACCTGATCGGTTCTTGTAAAATATCCACTGTGTCTGCGTCTTCTAACGTCATAGCGATTTATAGTTTTCTCACTGCTGGTTTCTGTCACTGCATCTCCCGTCACCTGCTCTGCTCTCGTCCGTGTACACACACACACACACACACACACGACCCATCCGTCACCCAAAGCTGTCAACTTGGGGGAAACTGTGCTGCTGTCGTCCTCTTGCACACTAGATGCTGCTTAAAGTTAATAATGTTGGATTATTGTTTTTATTTTATGGGCTATTTGGGATTTTTGAGTAATGCATATATTGTACCCTAGTTTTTAAAAGAAAGTATGACATTTCAATAGTTATTGTTTCCTAAGGCAAAGGTAATCCTGTTAAATAATTATGATTTCAATATTGACCAAAATAATTAGCAGCCCTACATGAACATTTATTTAATTCATGAAATTATAGAACATTTGTTGTGTGAAACTGCACCTCTGCCTTCTTTCTGTACAGGCTAATGCTTCATTCAATACATTGTTTTATTTTTAACTTGGAAAAAACTTTTGAAATTATTTTTAAATTTGGTGAAGAGCGCATTAAGACTTGTTTAGGACTCGAAAACTCAATGATTAAGACTTGGACTTGACTTGGACTTGTTGGTCCTTGACTTGAGACTCATGATCGGTCTGGTACTCGACTGGGACTTGAGTGCTAAGACTATAGACTTGACTCGGTGACTATAGACTTGACTAGACGATGACTTGGTCCCACCTCTGGTAACTTTAGCATTTAACTGAAATCATGATTGATTGTTGAGTTGAAGGCTAGCCAAAGTAAGCCGCAGTACTCGGATGAAAATGTGCACACGTGTGTTCGTTTTTCTCCTTTTTGGGCCGTGGGTTGTAACCTCACAGTCATGAGTTAACTGGGTGTTGGGAAGCTGCACCTTTTTACTCACCTCCAGTTCTTTCTGTAACTCAGACAATCCCTGCTACCTGCATGTAGCAGGTAATCCATCCTTTCACCCATAGTCTTTGTCTTTATAACTGTCATGTTTATAATAACAAACAGCTGTTTGTGTACAGGATTGCTCATAACTTGACAAACGTTTGGAGACCAGCGTTGGGTGACACAGCTGCTGTCAGCTCCTGTAGTGTGTGTGTGACCCCCTGTCAACGATCAGTCACATAGTGTGAACGCCACACCGCCGCCGCCAAGCAAAAGTACTTCTTATACGAAGCATCGATGAATCGTTAAAATAATCTATAGAAGCTTCGAATACTAAAATCATCGTTAGCTGCAGCCCTAGTGCGCATAATGTATCTTGTGCACTGTCTTAATTTTACTGTAAAATAGAGATCTGGCTATAAAACTTGGTAAATTGTCCTGGGCTTTGCACCAATGCCCTTCTGATTCTTTAAGGAGGGAATGAGATAAATGAGTGGGTGTCTTCAGTGTTTGGGTTACTTAATGCACTTTCATCTTGAATTAGCTAAATATCAGAATTGTGTGTGCATCTTTCTGCAGGGGAGCTATGCAACCTCATAACTCTGGATGTTGCCCATAACCAGCTGGAACACCTACCGAAGGAGATTGGGAATTGCACACAGATAACCAACCTTGACTTGCAGCACAATGAGCTCCTGGACCTCCCAGAGACTATAGGTAATTTAAGCATTAGGACTCAAAAGCAAAGTTTATTATGTCTTTGTTAATATTCAATATATGCTTTTTGTTTTATTTTACCAGTTGGCGATTTCATACATTTTGTAAAGGTGCAAAAACAAGTTTAATTTAGATGTGTTTTTCTTTTGTTGTTTTAGGCAATCTGGCTAGCATAAATCGCTTAGGTCTGAGATACAACCGATTGTCAGCCATCCCCAGGTCACTAGCCAGATGTCGAGAACTGGAGGAGCTAAACCTTGAAAACAACAACATTTCAGTGTTGCCAGAGGTAAGTCAAACCACATACAGGCAGCCTTTTGAAATATAATTGCTAAATAATAACAAATAATGGACCTTAATCAGAATCAGCTTTATTGCCAAGTATTTTTACACATTCAAGGAATATGCTTTGGTGACTTGAAGCAATAAGACCGTATAAAATTGACTGGATAATTTCAGTTACGGTAACAGTAAATTCATAATTTAGCTTCAAGCCCTCTGTATCTATTAGTGTTGTAGTACTCGAGACCAGTCTTAAGACCACTTTTGAAGGTCTCGTCTCGGACTCGACCACATTTGTACTCAGTCTTGTCTCTGTCTCAGACGTTGAGACGTTTTATTTCAACATCCTGACTTTGATTGGATGTAAAACGTATTGCTTTAAATGCAACCAATAACCCTAATTAAAAATGTGTTGTTACTGTTAATGACTGTCCCCCCCTACCCGTGATGGTAAGCATGGAAGAGGAGTGTTGCAAAAAAAACGCTTACGTTGATTTCAGTGTTTGTATGTGGGTGTTTTAGGGAAACTGGATCTTTCAGATCAGTTTGAGAAGTACCTATGATCTCGTTCCACATTTTATTGTGTCATGTAATATGGGGAACTGGTCTTGGTCTGACTCTGTCTCGCCCTCCTCGGTCTTCGTCTTAACTTGGTCTCGGTTTGGGCGGTTTTGACTACAACACTAGTAGCTATGCTCTAAAATGAATACATGTCATTCATTCATTAATACTGTGGTTGACCAGGGCCTACTGTCGAGTTTGGTCAACCTGACCAGTCTAACACTGGCGAGGAACTGCTTCCAGTCGTATCCTGTGGGTGGACCATCCCAGTTCTCCACCATCTACTCCCTCAACATGGAGCACAACCGCATCAACAAGATCCCCTTTGGTATCTTCTCCAGGGCCAAAGTTTTAAGCAAGCTTAACATGAAGGTATGTATGCATGTTTTCTGTGTGAGATAAACTGTAAGAAAAATTCTAACCAATGTGGAAATGATCATATCTACCATCTTAATTTAGTCTCGTTCATTAATAGGCCTGTTTAACAGACATTTTGACTTGTCACAATAGGAAAAGCACAGGTGTTACTAAAAACAGAAGCAATGACAATGTTCTATTCAAGTGTCCTAACAAACCGTGACTGTGATGCCGAATGCACAATACTAGGAACCTGAAGCTGA